GGGAGGCCCTGTGCAGCTCAGCAGATGATTCTGCTTTGGAGCAGATTGAATAATTAATAATTATTCTTTGAATAATTGACAAAAAAAAAAGAATATTGCAAATTCATGGTGTGAATGATGCTCTCAAGACTGTTTGACCATGTCGTCCCCCCCGCCTCACCACTGCAATCGGTGCACGTTAACCCTTTCTGTGCTGGAGGAGGACCTCCAAATCGTGCAGGGGGGACAGGGATGAAGCGGTGTCATCCAGCCCTCTCCCCATTGCCAGCAGGGTAGGGACAGAGCTGTCACACCAACGCCAGCCCCCCCCCCCTTCCCCGTAGCATCTTCCCCCAGGTTGAGGCCATCTCCCCATCCCTCGGTGCCACCCTCACCCCTTTCTCCCTCTCGCTCCCCGGGGGGCAGGAATGGACCCCGCCACCAACTCCAAAAGCAACCACTGCCTCGACGCGGCCAAAGCCTGCAACCTGAACGACAACTGCAAGCGCCTGCGCTCGGGCTACATCTCCACCTGCAGCAAGGAGATCTCGGCCACCGAGCACTGCAGCCGGAGGAAATGCCACAAGGCTCTGCGCCAGTTCTTCGACCGCGTCCCCAACGAGTACACCTACCGCCTCCTCTTCTGCTCCTGCAAGGACCAGGCTTGCGCCGAGCGCCGGCGGCAAACCATCGTCCCCTCCTGCTCCTACGAGGACAAGGAGAAGCCCAACTGCCTGGATCTGCGCAACACGTGCCGGACGGATCACCTTTGCCGGTAAGGGCTGCGCCGGGCTCTGCGGGGGCTTCCCCCAGCCCTTCCCGGTGCCCCAGGGCGACCTGGAGGCTGTAGCAGAGGTTTCGCGCGGGGCCGTGGCGGGTTTGGCGGTGCTGTCTGGTGGCGCGACCCCGTCCCAAGTTGATTTGTTGCGTTTTCCCGATGCCGAATGGTTTTTGGCTGCTCGTGGTGAGGCTGAGGCGTGGCCTTGGGTTTGGTCCCTCCTTGCTGTGGGGTGAACCCACGGGTTTGTGCGGGGCTGCACATGGTTTGCGAGCCTGGGGGCTGCCCACCGAGCCCCGCAACGCGCTCTGATCTGCCCCGAACCCCCCAGCTCTGCCCGGGAAAAAATGCGGCAGTGGGGCGAGGCGGCAGTGGGGCGATGCTCTCCGGCAGCGCTCGGGGTGGGGTGGGGACGTGGGGCAGAACCAGAACAGCGGGGACGGAGCTGCCATTCTGCTGTGAACGGTGGTGCTGAGTCCCTGGGGACCGTGCTGGCTCTGTTCTCTACCCGGGACTGCTCCGTCTCCCCAAGCTGTGGAGGGGATGAATGTGCAAAAGGCAGCGCGGCAGTGGGGGCACCCGCACCCTGCGAGCAGCAGAATCCCTCGGCGTGCTTCCAGCACCCCCTGGGAAACTTCGTGGCTGGTGAAATCTTCTGTTTTCCCCGTGCCAGAGCAAAGTTGGGAGATCAGGCTTTTGTTCCGTTATGAAACTCATTATTCATACGGCAAAAAACCTCCTGTCACCCTCCAGGGGCTGGATCAGCCTCATAAAGAATATGTTTCCTACGAGGAGGAGGGTCGTTTTGCCATCAAGGTGATGGAGTTTCCCAGAGCCTGGTGGTGAAATAAATAAATAACACAGCTTCAGGTCTTCCTCTGGCTGCAAGCGAATGTGTTTGAAACGTGGGAATGCGGCTTTTTATCAAAAAGTAATACAATAAGCCAATGTCTATGAATAAAAGATACCAGGGCTGCGCCGAGTCGTGGCCAAATTAATGGTAGCACCTCTCCGTCAGCAGGCCCGATGCTTGCTCAGACATTAAGTGCTGCGGATGCTTCCACTCACGGAGGGGAATAACCTGCCTCAGCAGCACGTTGGGGGGACCGGAGAGGCCACGGAGCTGCCGAGCATTAATTATGAGCCCGTTCCTGCATGAAATGAGATTCTGCCAGAAAGAGGTGAAGCAGCAAAGGGGGAAGCGTGTGGCAGCTGCTTTGGCTCTTTGCTCCAAGTGGGAAATGCGGGGGATTTTTTTTGGCAGCAGCGTGGACACTGCCCGGCTGGGGAGAGGCAGCCCTGGCCTGGGGGGTCTCGCTCTGCAGAGCACCCGAATCCAGCGTTTATTTATGCCTCCAGGATTGGGAGTTGGTTTGCAGGGTTTTGCCTTAACCTTGGCTGTTTCCTCCCCGTGATGGGGCGTTGTGGGGGTTGCGTGTGGGTGCGATCCTGGGATCTGGGCTTGCAAGAGAAGGTCCCATCCCATCCCATCCCATCCTCTCCTGCAGCTCTGCCCCGGCGAGGGGGGCTCTGACAGCGTTCCCCAAGGCTCAGGCAGGCAGGTTTGCTCCAACCCCCCCCCCCCCCCCGGTTAAAAGTGGTTATATCAACCAGGCTGTGGCACTGGGGTGCAAGAGGGGTTGAGAGCCTGCGGTGGGGAGCCCGTGCTCAGGGACGCTGGGAGATGCTGCCGCGCTCCAGCAGCTCACTTGACCTCCTTGTGTTTGCAGCTGCGAAAGCGTTTCGAAGCGGTGACCTACCGGGGGTGAGCCGTGCCCGACACCTGAGCTGAGGGGGGGAAAAAATAAGAATTTTTCTCTGTTGATGTGGCCTTGCAAGTGAGAGAAGGTCTGGCTTTTTTTCTTCCTGGATTTTGGGGTGGAGAGGGCTCCGGCAGAGCTTTCTAGCAGGGGCTGTGTGGGCACCGTGCTTTCCCTGGGAGCGGGCATGCACACACAGGCTGCACTTTATGGTCCTGGCTGCTGTTTTCCCCCTCCTCCTTCTGTGTCTGGAGGTTTTCTGCCAGCACATCTTCCCCAGGGATGAGGGAATAATGGCCCCGCACGCTGTGCCTGACGCACACGTGGGCATTGCATCCCCTGGCCCGTGGGGAAGGGCTGTGGAGGAGAGCTGGTCAAGGAAAACCATCATTAGCCAGAGGCTCGTGTGAGAACCTGCTGCCCTGTCGGCTTGACATGAGCCGCCTGGCTGTCCA